GACTGTGAGCTGGTCATTATTATTTGATAATACATGTAATATAAGAATGGCCTTTTATACACATTATCATTAATATTTTATTATTATTATTATTTCTGTTATTGTTGTTGTTGTTTTTATTTTTTTCTTTGACTTTCCTTTCTTCCCTTTCTTCTTAATCCCTTTCTTAAATGGACCCAGTCCCTTCCTCACCATCATACCTCTCCACCAGGCCTGTAGCTGTAAAGGAGAGGAAGAGAGGGAGGGAGGGAGAGGGAGTGGGGGAGAGAGGGGGAGGGAGGGAGGGAGGGAGGGAGGGAGGGGGAGGGAGCCTGGGAGGGAGGGGGAGGGGGGAGGGGGGAGGGAGGGAGAGGGAGGGAGGGGAGAAAAAATTATGTAAAAAGAAACATGATAGTATTGATAGAGAGTGTCAAAATGACAGAAATTGAGAAAGGAGAGAGAATGAAATACATGTACATGTACAGGTGGATGTAATGTATATACTTAATCAATTTATTGTTTTACTTTGGTTGCTGTCGTATTTCTTTCTTCTCTTGTTCTTCTTTGATTCTTTGTCTCTCCTTCATTGCTCTGTGCTCAATCACAACCTCCTCCCTCTCCATATACTGTACACACACACACACACACACACACACACACACATACACACTAATTACATTTACAGTAATGAATAATTAAAATCAATCAATTAATTGCATCATACATGTAATCACAGGGTTGCCAGATCATGAACAAAGTTCATAGATTTATGAACTTTTCAACCTTGGCATGAACTTTTCATGAACTACTTTTTTTCATGAACTTTTCATGAACTTTTGAGACTTTTCCTAAACTTTGCCAATTCAATGTTTGAGTAGCTTTAATGCCATTATCTTTGCAATATACAGTGTTTTGCTCTCAAAATGAGCCATCAGTATTCATTTCAGCAAGATTTCAGTGATAAGCTGAAAGTTATAAAATAAATTATTACAGTTATTAAGTAGTTATAAAAGTTAATATTAGTGGTTATTAAAGTTAAGTAAGTAGTTATCTGTAGTTATTAACCTGTGGTTGCAAAATTTTTAAAAACATGAACTTT